ATGAAAACTATAAAGCGTGGGTATTTTAAAGGAGGAACTTTACCTTCTTCACAGCAAAAACAATATCTTAAGGTTGTAGGATGTAACTCTGTACAAGTAAAAAGCCAAAAATTGTATTCCCTCAACTTCCACACAGATTTTTCACTGTCCTTAATAATGGGGTATTTACATTATCTATAAGATGAAATCACAAATACACCACAGACCTGTACGTGGGCAAGTGTTTCACCCTTTTCTGTCACACAGGATCTTCTATGCACACAAAATTCAGTTATATTTTTAGAAATAGCTAATGGACCATTTTGAACGTATTACTCCTAATCTTTTGGATGACTCTTTCTAGCACAATTGACGTGACAAAATAACGACTTTCCACCTTGAAAAAGCTGAATTGAATTGTAGGATAATTCACGTTAGGAGAGACCTCAGGAGGTCTCTAGCCCAAACTCCTGCTCAAAGCACTTCCAATGTTTGGTTACCCTTACAGGGAAATAGTTTTCCTTATATTTGATCGCAACCTCTCGTTTCAACTTACACCCATTGTCTTCATGAAAGGCTGAAACGCTCTATCTTGCATTTCATACACACCAGTATCACGAGGCTTCCAATCGATCACCAGGGGAACTGCGCGTCTCGACTCTGAAGTTCAGCATCTCCTTTCATCATGTTCCGATTCCTGTAAATTCTTCCACACCAGTTCTTCATTGCTTTGTCTTTTTACCCTGACACCTACGGGTAGCTAAGGTGCTAACACAGGAGGCTGCTCTCTACCACACTGACTAAAGCCTTCTCTTTTTGCCCCCTCTACCACTTGCATGTGGCGATTTTCACTTGCTCTATAATTGGACAGATGTGCTTTTTGGTCCAGAAACATCTTCTATGACTGTGCTGAACACAGTGCAATAGGGCTGTGTGTACATAGAGCTCCATGTTGTATACATTATTATATACATGCATACATAGACACACAATAAACATTATTACAAATAATAATCAAATGTAACCTAGGCTTTATTTTTGTACTGGCTTAAGGCTCTTTCCTCCCAAGCTGTTCTACCAGTATGGTAATATGGACATAACTAAACCAATCCAAAAAATACATCAGTCCAGCTTACCATACTTCCCTCCTCCTATCAGAAATACTACACCAGTGTAAGCTCTCGAATAGCTATATCCTTGGTTAACATGTTCTGTCGCCATGCTGCTCATAAAAGTTATCCACCACAGGGATGGCCGATAGGCCTCTGTTTGTTCAGCATCAGGCAGCTGGTTTTTTTACTCTCACCAACTCTGCTCATCTCCATGTGCAACTGTGAGGGTATAAACACAATGAATTTTGATGACCGGCAGATTTTGGTCTCTTTGAGGTCTTTCCTAAGCAAGCTTCTGCTCAAAATCTGCAGAGGTGTGCAGCCTTTGAGGAGAGAGGTGCTGCTTTGCCCTGGTCCAAAGCCTTCCCGTTGCTACCGATGCAGATCCAACACGCTACATCGCATTTTCTGGGCATTTCTTCACTGCTTGCGCTGGCAAGGCCGGAGCGACGCCCTGCTGCCGCGCCTGCGGGG